AGGATGCTTTAAAAGACCCCCTGAGAACACAGCCCCGGCCCCGNNCCCCCCCCCCCCCCCCCCCTGCAAGCTAGGGCCCTGCACACGACAATACCTACGGGCACCAGCGGCTTATAGGCGCCATTGCATAAACCTTGACGTTTTTGGGTTTAGGTCTCTATCGGATTCCTGGATTAGGATTCTAGATTTTAGGTTTTGGGATTCCAGGGGTCGCGACGTAAGATGGCTGAAAAGCTGAACAACGCGGGGAGTAGGCAATGAGGCCGGGCATCATGAGGATGAAGAATGTTATGATCATATGACGGCAGTAGAGACGAGATTTATTGCTGGAAACCAGCAACATCAATCGTAGGTTATAGCTTCCCTGCTACCCACGACAGAGACAGACAGCCAGCTATGCCGCACAACACTACCACAGCGCAGCAACAACGACCGCTACAGCAGCTGCAGCTGCTGCTCCTGCTCCACTCCTACATGCACCAACTCCTGCTGCTGCTCCTGCTCTTACTTCTAACTACTCCTACCACTACTGTGCTACTACGACGACTACTGCTTACAATAGTCATCCTGCTTCTATTGCTTCCGCTGTCCTACGCCCTGAAACCCTAAACCCTAAACCCTGAAGCCCTAAACCCCTAAACCCTGCGCCGTCCTGGCCAATGGGATCCCATGGAAGCGCGCTGACCGTGCCTGCCAGCTGCTTCGGTGCCCAAGAGCCAAAAAGGGATGAAGATCACACGGGTACAACAAAAATGCAGGGGCCTTTATAATTAGAATAGGGTTTTGGGGGCTCATTATACTATGATAATAATAAGGAACCACCCAAAAAATAGTGTAGGCAGTTATTAAGGCCTAAACCCTAAACCCTACATACCCCAAGCCCAATTCTAATTATTAAGGCCCCCTACAATATGCATCTGACCCCGCACAAGCTCCGTCGGACAAGCCGAGCGAGACAGCATCGTTGCCTCGATCGGCGATGAAGAGCAGTAACTGTAAAGCCATAAACTCGAGACATATGCCAAAAGAAGCAGGGATTAGGGTTTAGAGTTTAGGGGTTTAGGGTAACTTACTTCCCCAACAAGCCAGGGAAATACAAAGCTAAACTTTCAGATTACTACTACATTACAAGAACCCAAAAAGTTGTAAGGTTGAGTTTTGGAGAACGAAGAAAACTCGAGAAATATGCCACAAAGCAAGCAGACCACGCAGAAAAGCAACAAATCAACACACGCAGTGGTAGCGAGTGTGGCTGTTGAAGTGGCACTTGCAGGGGAGTCTAGACCAACAGGTGGAGTCTTGAATTCAGCCAAGGCAGATCTCACATTGTCACTGCCTACTTGTTCAGTGTTTTAGGATAGCTAAATGTTATGTTTGGAGGTTATGTAAGGACTGTAGTACCCCAACATGGCCATTGGTTGCCTACTGTACTGCTAAGACTGTACTTCGCCCTTCCCAAGCCAACTGAGGCCCTAAGACAAAAACCTTTGGACACCAGAACACCCCTAAGCAAAAGCAGTAAACCCTAAACGCTCAAACCTACACTAAACCTTAAAAACCGTATCGCCCAAACCCTAAACCATTTCACACCCTAAACCCTCAAACCTACACCCCTAAACCTTTAAACCCTAAACCCCTAGCCTATCCACTCCATACCCGATTTATTGCCGAGAAATCCAACAAGCACGCGACTCTTGAGGGTTTAGTGCTTTACCCTAATTAGTTTAGGGTTTAGGGTTTAGGGTTTAGAGTTTAGGGTTCTAACAGTCCCTGAAACTACCCAATACCTTTCGAAGGACTTCATAAGCAGTCATCTTGAAGGAACCCCGAACCCTAACCAGTGAAGCCTGCAGAACCCTAGACACCCCAAAAAATATGGCATGATCCCCCAGAAGCACCTTGGAGAACTCGATGGCACTGCCAACAAACCCCAATAAGCGTCTGCGAAACTCGTATAAATAAAGCCTTGATGCCAGCCTTTTTACCACCAGCAAAGCCCCCAATGGGCGCCAATGCACCCCTATCTGTCCTAAATGCTCATGCAAACAAAGCCCTTTAACCCCTCCCCCCAACCCCCCCTCCCCTAAAACAACAACAACCTATAATGTAAAGCCTCCTAACAAACTTACCCCTATAACACCCTCGTCATAGTCTCCTGAACCCCTAAACCCGAAAAAGCTCTAACACCCCAAACCCCTAAACTTACCAAAATCGCCAAAACCCTAAACCCCACAACCCCTCGAAACCAGCAGCCCTGAACCCTAAACCCTAAACCCTAAATCCTGACTCAGCCGAGCTGGGGCTCGCGCTGCAGGGGGAGCTGCTGGGCTCTTCGTTGATGGGATCCCAGGGCAGCTTCTTAGAGGCCGCCTGGCCCGGGTGTCGTCGTTCTTTTTGTGTGGTTTAGGGTTTAGGGTTTAGGGTTCAGGGTTTAGGGTTTAGGGTTTAGGGTAGTTACAAGTGGGGTTATAAGTAGGGTAACTATAACTATAACCCTAATTAGAGGCCGCCTGGCCCGGGGTGTCGCTTTTCTTTTTGTCTGCAGGGCTGAGTACCCAGAGAGCCCAATACCCCTTTAGGGTTTAGGGTTCCTTTTAGGGGTTCTTTTGGGGTTTAGGGCCAAGTTTAGGGTTTAGGGTTTACTTGCAGGCTCATGGGTAGTTATAAGTGGGGTTATAAGTAGGGTAACTCTTATTATAACCCTAACTAGGGGACTTATAACCCCACTTATAACTACCCATAAGCCTCCAAGTATCCTAGCCCACAAAAAAGCTAACCTGTCACATTTGAATAAACCGTCAAGGTCCATGTACCAAAATAGTATATACTTTGGCCCCAAAGCACCTATAGAGGAACTAGTTTAAGGCCAAAGCAGTTACTGTTTGGGTACATGGACCTTAGGGGCTAAACCCTAAACCCTAAACCCTAAACCCTAAACCCGATACACCCTAGACCCTGAGTCCCAAAACCCCAAAACACCCTAAGCCCGAAACCCCTATGAACCACGGTTTAGGGTTTAGGGTTTAGGGTTTAGGGTTTAGGGTTTAGGATAAGATTATATATAAACGCCCCACAAGGTTCCCTAGACCCTAAACCCTGAAAACAAAAACCCTAAACCCTATGGACCCTTATAATAAGGTTATAAAGGCCCCAAAAGGTTCAAGGTTGCCTATTCAGCCCCTCAGTTGCTTCGTTTTCTCTGAAGCCAAGTAAAAACACCCTAGACCCAACCCCTAAACCTTTAGACCTTATAGACTTTCTAAGCCCTCTTTTTCTCTAACTGGGCGTTGGGGTTTCTAGAGCTTTAGGTCTTCAATAGGTTTGTGTTTTGGGCGTCTGGGGGCTTTAGGTTTGCAGGGGTCTCGGGCTCGCATAGGCTTTAGGGTTTAAGGAACATAGGCAGAATGATGTTTAGGGTGTAGCGGTTTTGTGTTTCGGGTTCAGGATTCAAGCTTTAGGAAGTGTTGGGTTTAAGACGACCTTGTTTTTCGGGATCTGCGGTCGAGGCTTCTGGGATGTTAGGGCTTGGGGCTGTAGGGCCTTAGAGGGTGTTCGGATTTGGGGGGATTCTGGGGTCCCTGAGGCTCCATGTGCCCATATAGTAGATACTTCGGCCTTAAAGTACCTACATAAGGACCCCTTTAAGGCCTAAGTATCTACTAGAAGGGGGGTTGCATGGGTTTGGCTCCGGCTTTGGGCCATGGTGGCCGGAGGTGTGTGCACCGCACAGAAGGCTCGGCGGGTGACGATTCCGAGCCGCACCAGACGTGGTTTTGGGGGGTTTAGGGTTTAGGGGAAAGGGTTTAGGGTTTAGGGCTTAGGGCTGCCAGGAACGTGCCGTCTGCCGTAACAAAGAAAGCGCGCGGCAGGTGCGGTCACGACGCAGGCGAGCATGGCTGTTGTCTGGCATGTCAAAAGACGGCCCGGAATGTCGGCGAGTAGCCTTTAGTCTGTTAGTAGCCGTAGTAGACGTGTACGACATGGCCCGAGGAATTAAACAAGGCAGGTTTCGTCCGCTTGCTTTTACGAGACTCCGGCGGCTTGTTTACTGATATACTTGTTTGTTTATGGAGGCGGCGCCCGCAAGGAGCCGCGCGTTTTGACCGAGTGGGGTGGGGAGATGGGTGGGGGGAGGGCTTGATGACGTGCCTTTGACTTCGTCACCATGTTTAACAGTTGAGCTGGCTGTGGCTTCGGATCTGTGTGGTCTAAATCTGTTCTTAGAAAAGGTCTAGTCCGTTCTGAGAACAGAGCATCCATGGCCCAACCATGATGATGTGCGTGCGCTCTAACCCGTGCTGAGAGACAGCATCCATGGCCCCGACATGATGCCGTCTATGGTCTAACCTATAGCATACAGTTTGGAACACTTCGGCATGGTAGTGTTGATTGTTCAAGCCCCTACGTGAATTTCCGACTTCGGTTCAACCCCAAACCTAAACCCTAAAAACACTAAATAACCCTAAACCCTAAACCCCTCAACCCTAACCTTATAAACCCGAAACGCTAGACCGCAACCCCAATGCCCTGAGCTTTGACCCAAAGCCCTAGAACGCTACATCCCTAAGACCCAGACCCTGAAGCCTCAAACCCAAAGCCCTTATTGAACAAACTTGCATTTTTAAATTTTAGGGCTTAGGGTTTAGGTTGTTTAGGGTATAGGGCTTAGGGTTGTCTAGGGTTTTTTTTTAAAGTGTTATGGGACTTTCACTCTGCGAGCTCCGTCTGCGAGCTCCGTCTCAGCCCTTTGGGCCAAACACTCAGTTTCTCCCTAGCTTGCTGTGGCCAGGAATAAAATAAACTCACCCCATCCGGCAAGTGTACATATTTCAATGCCGTCAGAGATAGAGTAGTCACTTTTGTGCGAGAACCCACTGTGTTGTCCTTCACTGTACCTGAACAACCTAAACACGTGAGGCAGCCCTAGGCCCCATCAGCACCATCACGACTACGGCTTCGCTCACGTAGTTCAGGATCGTCACCCTCATCACCTTCCCCTCCTTCAGCTCGCCGGTCATCACCATCACCATCAGCTCGCCCTTCCGGTGGGGGACGACGAAGAGCACGTAGTGACGACGAAGAAGCAGCTGGGTGGGCTCCAGGTCCAGGTTGCCGTTGTCGCACCATCGGTCCACCCCCATGAAGTGTAGCCCTGACCATTCTCGCTGCACCACCCTCCATTGCTGTCGCCGGTCTCGCCCGATGACATCTGCGTCGGACCATCATCCCGAGCTGTACTTGGTCACGATGTGGGTCAGGAGGAACAGGCGCATTGAGGGGGATGTTGCTGGTAGCTGACGTAGAGTTGGTCTGGACGAGGAAGAGGTGCTGGTCATTCACGGGGACATCTTCTGGCTCGCCCTGTCGCCCCCTCATCACTTGGTTTGCGTGCTGTCGCCAAGCCCTGCGCCGATACCCAACGACATGTCGCACGCTCTGCCCTGGTAGCTGACGGCGAAGATTTTCCCTATCCGGCAAGTTGGGCTGCAGGATGACATGTGCAACTTCCGGCAGCACCAAAGCAGGGTCACTTCCTGAAGCACCGTTCGCCCCATTGGATATGACATGCCACAGTAGGTGTTCTTGTGTGGCTGCGTTCCACGGCCGCTCCATATCTTCCTGAACCATCCATAGCTGTAGCTCTTCAATGGCCACCTGGGTGAGTCTTTGCAGCCGGTGAAGCGCCCTGAGTCTGTCAAGCAGCCGACGCATGAGGTCACGCACGTCGGACCTCCCCCCCATGAAGACCTGCAAGTTGACCGCATCACGAATGGCCTCCTCGATGGACCTCTCCTCCGTCGTGGTGGTCGTAGTCGAACAACATGTCAACCCATCAGCCCACCCTGACCAAGAGGTGGAGTTGGCTGCATACTGCACGGGCGTAGTTGATGTGGTTGTCCATCTCACATGCCTCATATTGGACTCCATTGCTCCAAACTCACCCATCCATATGCTGCTCGGCGTAGAAGAGGAAGAGGGGGCGGTGGATGGCTGCGAGGTGGTCGTCAGTGAGGTCATTTGCGAACTGAGTATTTCATCTGCATCGTCGCCCTCTTCCGTGTCAGGTTCTCTCCAAATTCCCAGGAGTGGACCCGACGAAGCAGACGGCAGAGCAGTGGAAGAACCCGAGTCGGTCGGCATCGTGGGTGAATTCACCCCTTCAAAAGGGTGGATCCTTTCGCTTCCTGTCGCCTCATGTGACGCGTCATCTGTTGCACGGCTCCAACTTCTAGATCTCACCCTTACACTTGTTGTTGAACCTGGCGGAGGCGAGCTTGACGGAGACCTTCCCTCAGTACGGGCTGCTCGCACAGATGACGAGCTGGATGCATTCTGCCCCACAAACTCCGGCTCGAAGTCATGCTCAAAGAGGGGACGCCGAAGAATCTCCTCCATCGAGTGCAGGATGACCGAGGCAAAGTTCTGAGCCCAGCTGTAGAGGTTCCGCATCTGGTTGTCCGTCCCCGGTGTGCGGGTAATGGGGTAAACGCCCCTCGGTTGCAGCCTTCGCGAAATAACATTCAGCATCAGCTCCAGGGCTTCTTCGGCGTGTTCCGCTCTTCGTAGGACACATTGAAGAGCCCAGCGACTTTCAGGGCCACGTTCTTGTACTTGGTGGTCTTGAAGTACATCAAGCAGCTGGGCAAACCTGTCCACCTGCACCGTTGGCACCCGCAACTGTTCAAGGTTGCTGCGCTCGTTGTCGGTCAGCTGCATGCTACTGGCGTCCATCATGGTGGTCGTGGTTGAGGTCGAGGAGGTGCTCGTTGTTTCCCAGTGTGTCCCTCGAGTCCAACCCGAATCTTCCCATCTCCATGCGGTGGTACTCCATGTCCAGCCATTCCACCCATTCCACGTCGTCCAGCCTTCTGCCCAGGCATCGTCGGGCCAAGTTTGTCCCTCATCCACCGTAGTCGAATCTGTACCAGGTGTAATCACTTCCTCCTGCGTGTCGCCCTCCACTTGCGCCTCGTACGAAGTAGCAAGGTTTACACTGTTCTCCTCAATCAACTCCTCCGGGTGAGCAGGTTCCCCTATTGTTCCCATTGACCAAGTGGAGCACAGAGGCGAAGGTTCATCCAATTCGCCCTTTGCGTCATCATGTAGTAGAGTGGTGGCTGCGGGCTGGGTCTCCTCAGAATGAATTTCCTCCTCCTCTGGGATAGGGCCTGTCTCCCTGAGGCAGTCACGCAGCTTCTTTTCCTCCTTATAGCGCTGCAGCCATGAGGGGAGCCATTTGCCTTCTTGCCATTGTCGCATTCTGGCCTCCCGCCTTGCCATTCGTCGGGCACCTTGGCCGCCCCAGTGTCGCCGAAGCTCTAGTGGACTCCTCGGCCTCGGAATCCAAGTGCCATGCATCCAGAAACCGACCGCCGCTTCATCCCCAGCGCTTGTTGAGGCGTCACTGGAGGCCGCATCTAGACCGGAGATCGACGAGTCGTTCATCGAGGAAGCTTCACTGCCCGTGCCTCCATCATCATCTCCCGACGAGCTGGAGCTTGTCTGGTGTCTCCTCGTCCTCCTTGTCAGCCTGGTCGACTGTGGTGAGGAAGGCTGTGATCTCGCCCATAGAACAAGGGGGTCAATCGGTTCATCGTCCACAAGTTCCGCCTCTGACACTGCTTCCCCATGTTCTGTGGTCACTTCCTCGGCTTGTGCAGGGGAAGAGGTAGAGGACGGGTGTTCACCAAGGTCATCTTCTCCAGGTGCTTCATCATGTGCGGGCGGGTATACCAAGACGGGTGGTCCTTGTGTGTCTTGCCACGTAGTCGGCCACGTATTCTCTGGATGGTAACCCTGCGCGTCAACCATTGTCCTCGGGCGCCGAAGTGTGCCATCTGGGTGGTGCCACCGATCGAGACCTGCACGCCATCTGCCCCCTCGTTTGATCCAACCTGATTGCGTCGCCTCCTCCTGAGTAGTCGCTGTAGAGCTGGATGACGAAGTAGGCGGGGAAGCGGGCAAAGGCGAGGGCAAAGTACACAAAGTAGGGCACGTAGACCAGGATGACGAAGATGAACTCGCCCCCGGAGTGGACTGCTGCGGAGCTTCACCCTCATCTGTCGCATTGTGTTTCCCCTCTGGACCCTTTGCCTGCAGTAGGCGAGCATGTTTTTCTTCGATGGCCCGGACATAGTTCATCACATAGTCGTCATCATACATGAACGCGGGGAGCTGTTCCAGGTTGTCATTGTCACCCTCGCCCGGATCTTGTGGTGTGCATGCGCCCTCCAGAGTCGAGTTCCCGGCTGACTGCTCAGGGTTCTCTGTGACAGGCTGTAGCAGGGTGTCCCCGTTGCCATCCTCACTCTCATCCCAAGTTGGCCATGGCTCCGATTCTCCATTCCAATTGGTTTCCCACAGGTGAGCTTCGTGTGCAGGGGCATAGTAGGAGGCGGCCGTGGGCGAGGTGGAGCTTGTCGTCGTGTAGTTGGCGAACGTCTGGGTGCTCTCATCATGGTGGAGAAAAATCTCCCCTGGTGTGCTCGTGGTGCTGGAGGTCGACGAAGTCGAGGTAGTCCATGGCACATCGATGTCCGTCTTGATGCCGCAGTTGAACTCAACGTCACCCGATGTCAAAATTTGGAGGGTTCCATCACGTAGGCGAGGTTCATCCATGGGAGCTTTGGCATATTGAGTCCGGGTCACCGTGGCCGACACAGAGAAGGAAGAGGAAGAAGAAGAGGTCCTGCACAAAAGTCGCCCCGCGAGAAGCACAGCAGCCCAAAACAGCAGCCGGCCACGCAGCGGAGCCATGATCGGGAGAAAAGGGATCCAAACTCAGAAATTGTCTTTGTCACAAACGAGAAGGTAGAGCCGAGACACATGGGCATGCAAGGTAACGCAGCTCAGCCAGGGCAATCCGCTTGTCAGGCATCACACGCACCAACGGAACAACGAACATCCTTGCTCATTCAAGGGAAAGTTGTCTCCCTCTTGCCCACTTGACATCCCATCTGCGAAGATATTCCACGAGAGATTCTTTCCATTTGTTGCGGTCCTGAGCCAGACTGGGCCAGTCATTGCCGGCCACTGCAGCGATCTGCCTCTCCATATTAGAGGGGTAGAAACTGCGGGGGTGTGTGAGCCCTAGACCTGATGCGTGCAGGGATTGCTGTTCTTGCCACCAAGCTTGATTTCTCCATCGTAGGCATCGCATTGTCACCCCTTCGATGTGCTCCCATCCACCTTTGACCACTTCACAGTGCCTTGCCCAATGTCCAAGGAGTTGGTGCTGTAGTCGTAGGGCCAGGGTGCTCCATCGTTCCACTTGGTGACGATGAAGGTAGCATCTCACCATCCGCAGGGTTCTCGTATTCCAGTCAATCCATGTCTCTCCCTTCACGCGACCAAGCTTGAAGGCAGTCCTGAAAATCTGAGCCTGGAGGCTATTGGCTTTCGCTAGGCTCTCCTTACTCCAGTGTACACATCCTGCCGACCATCTCCATGTCGCCGTGATCAGCATGGAGATGATGAAGGCTTTCTGAGACCACGAACCTTTGGCCACAAGTAGGGGACGATGTTCAGCATATGCAGCGCGGGCCCGGCCTAGCAATTCTTCAGCTTGTTGTGCAGGTGTCTCTCCAAGATCAAAGGAAACACCCAAGACACGGATAGCGGAGTCCTTGTGGATGGTGACGTCCTGTTTCTCGACCCTGAGTGTCATTTTCCCTTTGTAGTCAGGGGAGGCAATGACTTTTGTCTTGTTCATCGCTAGCTTGAGGCCTCCTTTGCCAAGCGCACCACCAATGATCTCTATCTTCCTCGCGAGCCGGGCTGCCGTGGTATCAAACACAAACACGTCGTCCTGGAAGAAGAACAAGTCCACAGGGAGGTCCTTGAACGCGAGTCCCACATTCTTCCATGGGTCTCTTTCCAGCATATCATCCAGCAGCATGCCCATCACCAGCCCGAAGAGTTCCGCCGAGTCAGGGGAGCCTTGGCGTATGCCCACGTTGGCCTCAACAGTGATCTCATGTCCCCCTGGAACCATTCCCCGTAGAACATTGATGTCCAGCTGGCGTAACAGAAACTGTGCTTCTACGCCGAGGGCAGTGTTCTTGGTTCTGCTGACGATCATTTCCGCAACTTCATCCCTCGAGAGGCGGTCGAATGCGCCAGCTACGTCCAGCTTCGCGAAGAGCAGAGGTTCCCTCCATTCGTGTGCAATGTCCCTCATTCTAGTCATGGCACCAATGAGGTCAGCAACTTGGCGTCCTTTTCCACAAGTGGAAATACTGGACCCACGTCTTAGCACTGGGAAAATTCACCCCATGATCAGGCGGTTGGTGAGCTTGCTGAAATTCGACCCAACACAAATCGGCCGAAGGTCCCCAGGCACTAGGGGCTCAGGGCATTTCGCGAGGAGAGCAAGCACACTGACCGACCACTCCTCTGGTTGCTCGTTGTGGTAGATGATGTGGTTGATCAAGTCGACGAGTTGTGATCCAAGAACGTCATGGAGGATGATAGCCTTGATAAGGTCCACACAGACAAGGTCGAGCCCCACGGCAGTGTACGTCTTCATATGAGAAGGGGTTTCGAAGATCTCCTCCTTCGTGTAGGGATGCCAGCGCTCAGGTCGACGAACCTGTGTGGCCACGTGTCATCATCTGGGTTCGTCATCTTCCCTTGTAGGTGCAGTTGAACGTCCTTGGTCAGCTCAGCCGCAGATTTATCCTGAAGCATCCGACCCCACCATCCCTTACGGCGCACTCTGTCTCGTTTGTAGGAGCGGAAAGCGGACCAATCACCTTGGACAACCTTCTCGGCCCTGTCTTTTTGCCATTGCCGGATTGCCTTTTTCCGAAGTTTGTGGATGCGTTTCCAGTCCTCCTTGTCATTGAACTCTCTCGCCCGGTTGATCAGCTCCTTGAGCTCGAGAGAGTCCACATAGCATGGGGACGCTCTCGGGGCTGTGCATTCCTTCGCGAGTGCCTTGAGGTCGGTGCTGTCCACAATGGTGTCAGTGTCCGGAAGGATAGCTGTGAGGCGCCTCGGTCGAGTGTCTTGCCCCCATGCTTGGCGTCGAGAAATCGAGGAGAAAATGTCCGCATTGAGCTCCGCGTGGTCCGTGCCGATGCAGTGTCTAAGCTCAGGGCGAATGTGTGTATTGCCAATAGAAACGCTCTTCCCGAGGATCATGTCGATCTGTCGCCCTTCCCGAGTGGTGTCCCTCGGGTAGTGCGTCGGGCATCGGAGAAGATGGGAGGAGGGAGAGTTGGGCCAAATACCAGCACGCATAGCTTCTTCCAGAAACGAGCTGAGGTTAACATTGGCATTGATCACCTCAAATCGTCCATCCTCCACTTCATGCCACCCAGGTTGCTCATTGACATCGGCCCCCACCACAATGGGGTATTGTTTCCACTTTTTCTTGATCCCCTTGAAGAACTGCTGTACCGCATCAGCGTAGACCTGTTGTGTCGCCCCAGTGTGACAATGAACCGATCCAAAAACAACTCGCCCCAGGCCTTTGACCCTAGCCAGAATCCAGATACCCCTCGTAGTGGCCGTTTTCTCGATGACACTGTCCAGGAGGTCCTGCGCAATGCCAATTCCTACCCCACGGTAATGATCAGGATGTCGGTGTAGTACCCAATGGAAATGTGCATCATCATGTTCTCCCCAGCCTGCTTCTCCACGAGCCACCTCTTGAACCGCAACAAAATCAGAGTCATGCAGCACAACCTCCAGAGTGTCAACAGGTTGTCCTCCCAAATTCCATTGTGAAAATCGTCCCGCTCGCCGCCTTGCACCGCGTAGCGAGGATGCCCCATAACTTCGCCCCCTTGATGGTTTAACCACGTCAACGTTGGCGTCGTCATCAGGCTGAGTGAAACAGGTCGTTGTGTTGGTTCAGAGCTCCCTTTCAAAGGCAGATCTCGCATCTGCCTCCGTGCACCCTGTGGTCTCACAGATTGCCATCACATCAATCCAGCCCCCGGGCATCAAAATCACCCCTTGGGTTCTGGGTTGACGGTGTGTAGAGGACCCCAGCTTTCTTGGTCCGCACCAAACCGTGCCATTGTTCCAATCGCAGTCATAGTTCTCCGGAACAACAGCGTGGGGGTTTTTGGGCGCGCCTTGCTCTGTGGTGCAGTCCGCCGCCAACTGCGTGGTCACCCTCCTGATCTGGCTCACAAGGGCGGACCTCTTCCGGGCTTCCTTGGTCTTCATGAACGCTGCCCAGGCTGGTCGTGGGTTGGGGGAATCCTTCACGCTTGGCACGACAATGCTCATGTCCCGTAGCCCTTTAACCACTCCCCACATCCTCTCCCGGACCGCCTTGAAGTCTTCATTGGGGCGAATATCAAACTTCAGACTCCCGACGGATCGCCTTGGTCCATAGACGGAGGCCTGCTCGACATCCAAGAGTCCTTGTAATTCAGGTCGTCCCAAGATCGCTTTGCTTTCAGCCTCTATCACCGCCCGTTTCGTGTCTTGCGCCCACCCGCCCAAGATAAGAGTGCGCTTTTCCTCCTCCGACAAACCTCCTTCGTCCGCGAAGCCGTTGTCACCATTTGTCCGTGTCCCCGAGGTGCCTCCGAAAGGCCTTTTCACTTCTCGTTGTCGTCCATGCAAGTATTGAGCCCAGGGGTCTTCACGGGGTTCACCTTGTGCACTTTGCTGTTGCATTTTCCCTCCAACTTCAACTTTGAGCTTCGCAAGGTCCTCGGCAATCTCGTCCAACTTCCGCTCATGTCGCCCTTGTGTGGTGGAGTGTTCTTGTACCTTGATTTCCATAGCAGCTGTGCGACCCTTCATTTCACTCACCTCATTCTCCATCGTCCCTTGTTTGTGCTCAAGTCGATCCACTCTGGCTCGTTCTTCACCCCATGCCGCTCTCATCTCGAACATGTGCATCTGAAGTAGTTCTCGTAGTTCACGACCAGATAGGGGCGCGTCACCCGAAGCCAGTGCTCGCTTGTTGGGACTTTCCTCCTCTTCCTCTTGCTTGATCTCCGGGCCAGACCTTTCGCGTTTCTTTTTCCGCGTTCCACGTAGGGCATCCTTCGCGATCTCCTCCTTGGTCACCAAAACACCGCCTGGAGGTTGCACCTCTTCCATGTCTTCCTCGTCCGCGATCTCAGTAGGAGAATGCCCTTCATCGTCAACCCTGATGGCTTGCTCCGTGGCCATGGTTTTGGTCTGCGATGATCGGTCTTCTCAGCGAAGTTGCACCGCTTGATCGAGCCCAAGAACTCACCCCCTCTTGTCTCTTTCCCAGCGAAGGCGGAGCCCAGAATCGGGTAAAAGAAAGTGAGGAGAACCGTGTGGAACTCGCCCCCCCTTTTGCCCAGCAAAGGTGGAGTGCAGGATCGGGTAGAAGGTGAAGTGCAGGATCGGGTAGAAGAAGACGAGGAGATCCGTGTAGAACTCGCCCTTCCCTTTCCTCCAGCGAAGGCGAAGTACAGGATCGGGCAGAAGGCGGGGCGCAGGATCGGGTAAAGCAAGCGAGGGAGGTCGTGCACAGGTTACCCACGCGCCACCACGGTCTTTATTCCCTCGCCCCACAGGATCAGCTCAGAAGGGCCTTCTCACCGCCAGGCACAAGTCCCCCCTTGGTGCTATGGCGCGGCAGAGCAGGGATAGGACAACTTTGGGAACTGGGAAACCTTGAGAGAAAACGGCCTTGAGCCGTAGCC